ATTGCCCAGCCTTCCTTCTGAGGAGTGACTGGTGGGTTTGAACTGCCAGCCTTCTGGTTAGCAGTCAAGTGCCTTAGGCACTATGCTACCAGAGCTCCTGATCCTATTCTTAGGTCCCTGGAATTCAAATGAGAATGCTGTCGGTTTAAAATCCAAAATGGTTGCCACTTGTAAAGATTCAAAATGGCTGCACCCTTGGCCACTTTAAATATCCAAAATGGCCACTGCTTATAAACATTCAAAATGGCTGCACCCTCGGTCACTCTAAATATCCAAAATGGCTGCCGCTTATAAACGTTCAAAATGGCTGTGCCCTTGGTCCCTTAAATATCCAAAATGGCTGCCACATGTAAACAATCAAAATGGCCATGCCCTTCAGACAGCAGAAAGTCCAAAGCTCAGGTTGTCTCCCTTCTTGTTGTTTCCCTGCCTAGTCATAGGCTACCAGCGCAGTTGTCCCTGCAGCCCTTAGTGACCAGGGCTGATCTTTAGGTCACTTCTCAGGTCCCAACACCACTTGGAAATATTCAGGCTGTTGGTCCCATCAGAGTAGCTGACAGTCCACAGCTCCGACTGTCTCTATACTCACTATTTTCATTCAGGTTTTTCCACTAATCGGTGCCTAATCTACTTCTGTATAGTTCCTTTCAAAGCTCAGGGCTCTAGGATTATCTTCTGTATCTCTGTCAATTGTTTTTCCTTTTCTTTGTTGAAGAGTATCTGTGTTGCTTGTCTGCCTATTCCTCCATCTTACTGAAAGTGCCCATTTCATTTTTTGCAACTTCTAATTTTCCTAGATTCATACTTCATACATTCCATGTTCTGATTATTAATGGATGTTTGAAGCTATTTCTCCTCAATTTGAGTTGTGTCGCATCAGCAAATGGAGGTCTTGAAAGTTTTACTTTATCCATATCATTAAGGTTGGTTCTACTCTGATGATGCAGCTCTTTCCAAGTCACATTTTGAGAGACTTCCAAAGGGACTTGTCCTCCTGCACTATATTGGGCAATGTTTCCAGGCTATTCATAAAATTGCACAAATGTACCAAACAGTGTTTCTCTGCTATTCATAAGGTTTTCCCTGGCCAATTCTTTGAGAAGTGAATAGCCTCTTCCTTCTTCATAGTCTGTCTCAGTCTGTAAGCTGCATTGAAACCTGTGTACCATGTGCAACCCTGCTGGCATTTGCAACACCAGTGGCACAGCCTCAAGCCTTACAACAACACACAAGCCATCACAGTATGACAAACTGACATACAAGTTTGTCTCCCTTAGCTGTTCAAAAGCTCTCCCCTTCTTTCTTCTTGGGGGTGGGGCCTGTGTCCCTCCCCTTACCTGAGATCCCTGCTGCTCTGTCTGTGGTCCTCTGGCTTCTCTTTCCCCCTGCTTCCTGCCTGTTAGGGGTGGGGCCTGTGTCCCTCCCCTTACCTGAGATCCCTGCTGCTCTGTCTTTTATTTTACTTTTATTGTGGTGAAAACATAAATAAGACATTCACCAACATAACAACTTCTACATTTACAGCTCAAGGACATTATTATGTTTTTCATGTTGTGCCACCATCAATGCTATCTTTTTCCAAAATATTCCACAAACAAAAGCTTCCCCTTTCCCCCTCCCTCCTACCCTTGGTAACCACTAATAATCTTTTATATATATATGTGCGTGTGTGTGTGTGTGTGTATGTACGTGTGTATATATATGTGTGTGTATGCATATC